TTATGAGAGTATAACATTATAACATGATACAAAACTCAAAAAAGTTGATTTTACATGATATTGCCCCTTTAAGCATTCAGAATTTGTAAAATCTTGTTCTTGGCTACTAATAGTTTTCAGCTCTGTAAGTCTTAAAATGGCTGAACTAGAGCCTTTATTTAAAATAGCATTACTTGTGATTAGCATTCAGAATGTGTTGAGTTAGCTGTCAGCTACCAACTCACCAAATTTCAGCTTTGAATGTCATAAAACTGCTGAGAAATCTGGGTGCCATGTTGGGTTACACAAAGCCTCTAGTCCTGTCACTCATGAAGCCACTTTCCTCAGCCAATCAGAAGGCCTGATTGTGGTGTCATTACAGGGAGGGGCAGAGCAGCTGTGAAGCACCTTCCTTTCAACATGAGAAATTCTATGCAAAGTTTTGAAGAAATTTATAGTTTAGTACTGATTATAAACAACACCAGAGTATTAGGGTTTTGCTTATTTTATAATACTTTTATAATGTTTGTCATATTTCTTACAATGTGTTAATTGAAATAGTGTAGATACATGTCCGAATATAACAACACATAATTAAAGCTGTATTAACATTAGATTGAGGGCTGTCTGTATGAATGCCTGTGATTCAGCTGTAGGCCAGCAGGAGGCGAACTCAGGCATTGAAGATCCTGTATTTATTGGTCGACTTCCTGTTTTGACTTTCAGTGTGTGGTTTGACTCGCCAGCTCATGGCTGAATAAACCCTCACTCCAGAATTCTGATGTTGTATGGCAATTATTTCTTATCACAGATCGTTTTATTTAACACTTGTGTTTTCACCTGACTTCAGCCGTTATTGAACTCGTATTTCCTCACAGTTTAGTTCAAAAAACAAGCTGCTTATTGAAAATTATAAGGTCTATTGAAATAATTCTTGAACCGTGAGCAAGAGAAGAAATTGTTTTATTACTCATGGAMATTTTCAAACATGTACAGCGCTTTATCTCGGAGAAATGACGAGTTAAAAAACAGTCATTGTTTTACGTCTGAACTGCATCATGACACAAATTAGTGGTACTTCCCTGATGTCCGACGCACTTTGAGAGAAAACCATTTGTCCTACAGCAAAACCAGAAATATTGGTTGAAAGAAGACAAAAATGCCTACATTTTTATATGAATTTTGTCTGTGTATCATGAAAATTGAGGATGTAGGAATAAGTTGCTGGCTAATAAATAGTCTAAAAGCCAGACAGCACTCACTCTGTCACAGTGTATTCCTATGAGGTTTTTTTATGGTAGTTTTTTGCAATTGACTTTGTCATGGTAAATCAAAATGCCACTAAAAGTAAGCACACCTCCCACCGCTGAGCCGGTCGTTTTGATGTAACTTTTGTAGGAGTGCATGTTCGCCCGGGCCGCAATAGAGATCCTTTTTTGAGGTGGAAAATAATATGAATGGAAGCAGAGCTCTCTCATTCATTTTATATGGCAAGCCCTAATAAAGTGTGGTTAAAAAAATGTTTTTGGTAATTAATGCAGCTTTAATGAACAAAGATACATTTGATTCACCATCATTTACTGGTAATCCTTTGTGTATTTTTAGATTTTGTTAATAAATCTGTTTAAGGTACCATGTTCTGGTCAGGGGAAACAGTGGCTCGGTGCTTCCTGACACAGTGGTCCTGTATCATCTCCTGCAGTCCTCTGTACAGGCTCTCGCAGCAAAGCCACTGACGCTTCTGGTTCTGTAGTTTCTGCTCGGCCTACAGAGGTACACAAAGCCTGCTCATTATGGCACAAACAGAACTTATTTTTATTTGTTACATTTATGAAGTTCCCCCTGCTGGTCAGCAGAAGTAAAGACATTTACAAAATAAATGAGTCCATAATTATACAAGCCCTTTAAAGTGCAACTTACCCCCCTGTGAAAAGATAACTCCGCCCCAAGGTGAAATTTGAAAAATGCATGAAAGTGGGTAGGGGAGGGGGTGTGGCCAGGACGACAGAACGCGACAGCTAGCATTAGCATAATTGATGCTACATGGAGAGTGACCAGAGTATCTCAGATAGTTACATCTCTAAACAGTCTGAGGTGGAGGATTTTTCACCCCCCTCCTCACCAGAGGCAGAGAGAGACTTGATCAAGTCAGCTCAGTCTGGGACTGACTCATGTTGGCTCCTGTGGATCAGGACCTGAAGCTCCAGCAGCCTCGGCTGAGCTGTGTCCGCCTCACCCCACACCAGCCCCGGACAGAGGAGGAGGAGCGCTCCGCGACAGCCTGACATACAAAAATAAAAGCATACAGCTGCAGC